CACACTACCACTTCCACGCTACCACTTCCACGCTAGATTCCACAAAACCACACCATTATTTAACTATTCTTACATGTAATCAATTCATATACCCTTTAGAAATTTACACTTAACTGCTTCACTCATACACTCAAGTCACTATTTAGATCTGTAAGTCACTCTGGACACACACTTTCACCTCCGGGATATACCATCTTTTTAGTACATGACTTGACTTCTAAAACAATTCTCCCTGAGTTTAATTTTTATGTTTTTATAATCAATTGGCTGTTCAGGGTTTCGTATATAACTTTATTGAATTATAGGTTAAGAGACTGTTTGATTATAGGTGAATAGTTAAGGTGGTGTTGGAGAGAGAGAGAGAGAGAGAGAGAGAGAGAGAGAGAGAGAGAGAGAGTGTTTGTAAAGATAATGAAGTAGATATATGTATAAGGTTTAGTGTGTTTTGAGTGTGAGTGTATGTGGTAAGTGTATGTGTGTGGTGGTTTGATAGTTCGTATATTGTGAGTGTAAGTGTGAGTGTATGTGGTAAGTGTATGGTGTGTTGACGATACGTAGAAAGTGTGAGCGAGTGTATGTACGTGATAAGTGTTTAATGTTGCGTAAAAAAGTGCGAGTTTAAATATGTGAATTAAAATATTCTGATAGAAAGTTTATAAACAAAAAAGTAGTAAAAGTAAAAGATATGATTAAGTAAATCTAAGTAATATTATGACTCTAGTACAACAATGGAGACGAACTTTAACTTAGAACACTGTCAGGATAAGATAGTGTTAAAATAATAAGTAGACGTTTAATTGAATATAAGAGTTACCTTGAGTAATTAAGGGCAAGAGGCACGTAGTTGTGGAAGCTGGAATTAACAAGACAAAAAAAAAATTAACACAAAGGCAAAAACTGGACGGGAGAAAACGGTTGGTTAGAACACCTGCTGCGGGTTGAGTCCTTTTTCATTATTTCCTGTAAGCAGTTGTCCACATAAACAAGGTATATTTCAGTAGTTTGGGGGTGACGGTACAGCATATCTCCTGTATATTTGCAAGGGATATGGTCGACGGTATACCATCCTACATAACCCTGGTAGTTCTAGGGTACTGTACCTGGATAACCCCGATAACTCAATACTGTACCTGGATAACCTCGATAACTCAATACTGTACCTGGATAACCTCGATAACTCAATACTGTACCTGGATAACCCCGACAACTCAATACTGTACCTGGATAACCTCGATAACTCAATACTGATAACCCCGATAACTCAATACTGTACCTCTGGATAACTCCCGATAACACCCGATAACTCAATACGATACCTGGATAACCCCGATAACTCAATACTGTACCTGGATAACCCCGATAACTCAATACTATGCCTGGATAACCCCGATAACTCGATTCTATACCTGGATAACACCCGATAACTCAATACGATACCTGGATAACCCCGATAACTCAATACTGTACCTGGATAACCCCGATAACTCAATACTATGCCTGGATAACCCCGATAACTCGATTCTATACCTGGATAACACCCGATAACTCAATACTATGCCTGGATAACCCCGATAACTCGATTCTATACCTGGATAACCCCTATAACTCAATACTGTACCGTAGTAATTTAATTTTCTACTTTTCTTTTTGGTAACTATGGTAAACCAACATCATCAGTAACCCACCTGTCTATAAGATCACAAAATACTAAACGATTGCCATAATAGCTGTCATAATCTTGTTATTTTTTTCCCCACCTGATTTATAGCACCGGGAGAATTACAGGTTTGAGTTGTGTGTAAGAGAGGGGAACAGTCTTAACCATGTGAGTCGTACTGGGTTTAAAAAAGTTTTCTTGAATACTGTTGATGCATTACTTTGCTTTAGGGGGAACTTAACTAGCTAAGACTGCGTGTCACTGATGACTTGGGCGAAAGAGGTTTTTATGGTGTGTGTGTGTGTGTGTGTGTGTGTGTGTGTGTGTGTGTGTGTGTGTGTGTGTGCTAGAATTAAATTTATTACTTCCTCAGGAAACTTCAAAGTGTTGATTAGTGAGTAAAAAGAATTCATGATCTGATTTCCATTAAAACTTCAACGTTGGAAGTTTAAATTTACCTCTACCTTACCTTACCTTACCTTACCTTACCTTACCTTACCTTACCTTATAATATAAACAAATTGTAGTTGATATTCAGTTAATTAGTGTACCATCATTTGACTTGGATCACCTAAATATTAGACATCCCAGCTTATTTTACCTAACCTAACCCAACCCATTTGGATTAGATTATAATATTTAGGGTCTATTCATTATAATTGGATTGAGTTTGGTTAGATTATGTTAGGTTAAGTTAGGTGAGGTTAGGTTAGGTTAGGTTAGGTTAGGTTAGGTTAGGTTATGTTATGTTAGGTTAGGTTAGGTTAGGCTAAGTTAGGTGAGGTTAGGTTAGGTTAGGTTAGGTGATAGTTGTGTCACTGCAAATCAAGACGGTGAAGGAAATTTAATTCATGTCTGTATAATTTACTTAGATTATATAGGTACAGGTTACATTATAAGTATATGATATAGTTAAAGATTTACTGGCCAATCACAAGCCAAAATGTGAAAATAAACGAACCAATCACAAGCCAAAATGTGAAAATAAACGAACCAATCACAAACCAAGACGAGAGAAAGAGCACGTGGCTATTGGACATAACTTCCCACAATAAACAAACTTCCAGGTGTTACTGTCATACATTAGGACATGTTGTTAATGATGTCCTAAGTAATGTCCTAAATAATATACTCCTCCTTCTTCAGGTACGGATACTGACGGAGTGAACCAACGACTCGGCATGGTTAAGGTGGGCACGTCTTTGTACTCCTCTCTCTCCTCGACGTCGAAATCATAGTGATCGAAAAGTCCCTGTGCACCTGTTATAAAATAATCAATATTGTTCTTCCTAGTTATACCTAAGTTGTTATATTCTTTGTTCTACTTAGAGTAAATATTGAACATGGTATCTACTTCTAGCATTTACTGAGACCATTTCCAATATTTGCTGTAAGTAGAACAAGGTAGAACAATGTAGATTTAACAAGGGATTACTATAGTGTACATTATTACAGGTGCATAGGGACTTTTCGTTCAACCTGTATGACCAGTGACCCGCATGTGTAGTAGTAGTAATGCATGTTTATCCTCTGGTTAATGTTGCTAATCTAAAGACCTTTTTATCCACTTGGTAATTATCCTAATGGTGCGGTTAATGTGGATTACTAACCCCAATTTATTACACCATAAGATAAACCACCCTTAATCTGACCTGACCTGACCTGACCTGACCTTACCTTACCTTACCTTACCTTACCTTACGTAATTTTCAGGTAATCCAATTTAGTATCCACACAACAAAAAAATAATCCTAAATTTTTGGACATACTTAAAAATATCTAATTATCGGAAATAATAACTAAAAATTAACTAAGTTATTCAAGTAACTTAAGTAATAATTTATAAGTGTTCACAAAAGCTACTTATGGTTACTTCTTTACACTTGTTACTTACTTATAAAATTCCTCGAGAGTAATTTACTTTATATGGTGGTATGGCTGTGAGACAAGAATATATTGTTTATTTTCTTGTTTTCTTGTTTTGTCTTCTATATTTATGGTATTTTGTACTACCATGATTGACACAAGTACTACCATGATTGACACAAGTACTACCATCATTGACACAAGTACTACCATCATTGACACAAGTACTATCATGACAGATACAAGTACTACCATGATTGACACAATTACTACCATGATTGACACAAGTACTACCATGATTGACACAAGTACTACCATGATTGACGCAAGTACTACCATGACAGATACAAGTACTACCATGACAACACCATAACTAACACAAATACTACCATGAAACGCAAATATCACCATAGCTAACACAAGACGCTTAATGGTAATAAAGTTATGGTAGATCTCCTCTTGTTAGGGAAATATACCATCAAACTAAACCTTTAACTATAACAAAAATCATAACACCATTACAACTAATAACACGATAATTATTCATAAAGATAATTCTTATGATAACTACAAGTGTCATGACGTTATTTTATCGTTATTGTTATTGGTCGTGTTATTATTACTTTTATTATTACGGTTTGAAGTCGTTATGTATTTTTTTTCTTATTTAATTTTAACTCTGGAATTGACCAATGTGTACATGTGTGTTCAATGGTGCGTTTAGTGGTTATTGATACTCGGGATAATATTGTTATTTTCTGTTATTGGTTAATGTTATTTTGAGGTCAAGATTGAGTCGTTTTTTATTCATTATATTTATTTTGACTTTCTCTTTATTCATTATATATATTTTACATTGTCGTTATTGGTCTTGTGTTGTGGTGATTATGGTGATAGATGGGGTTAGGTTAGGTTTGGTTAGGTTTGGTTAGGTTAGGTTTGGTTTGGTTTGGTTTGGTTTGGTTTGGTTTGGTTTGGTTTGGTTTGGTTAGGTTAGGTTAGGTTAGGTTAGGTTTGGTTTGGTTTGGTTAGGTTAGGTTAGGTTAGGTTAGGTTAGGTTAGGTTAGGTTAGGTTATAATTAAGGTGGATTAGCTTGAAGGTAAAATAATCAAGGGGGTTAATCTTCAGGTGACCCCTACAGCATACAGTGATAGTGAAGTAAACAGAGGCTGGTCGCTTCCTCCATCAACCGCTCTTAACGGAATCACTCTCCCCGTTGTTGTCGACCACTGTTTATCCTGTCTGTCTGTTAGTAAGTCATTTGTCACTTAGTCTGGAACGATAATTACTGTGTGAACCTCCCGCTGAAGAAAAAACATCAATGATTTATTTATTTTTTTGTATTTGTTGTATATTTTTTACTTCGTTTTGTAATATAGCGTCTGTAAGTTTGTAATATATCCCTGTGTAGTAATGAATAGAGAGCAGTTGTACATAGGTGACAGGACGGTAAAATGTACAATAAATGTCTTTTTGTTGTTTACGAAATAAGAGAGTTATTTTCAAGGTAACAAGAACGGAAAATGTTCACTAAATGTCCTTTGGTTGTTTACGAAAAATATAGAAACATTTTAATAGTGATCAATAATTGTTCTTTTATTGTAACAATGTAACGAACTCAAAATATGTCTAGTAAATGTCCCTTTGATGTTAACGAAATATTAAGGCATTTTAGTAGAGACCAAGATCTAAAAATCTCCACTAAATATCCTTCTAGTTACAAAACATACAGACTTTGTAATAGGACAGAGAATACATTAGTGATACAGTAACTAAACATTTATCAAATTTCTCACATTACGTTACGTTTGGTGCTGGTGGCTGACGTGGTTTGCTCTCTAATGTACCTGGTGAAAAGTTAATGGTGATCAGTTAGGTGTAGTGGTGTTGAAAAAGGTGGAGTGGTGATCAGTTTGGTGTAGTGGAGGTGTAGTGGTGATCAGTCAGGTGTAGTGGTGTTTAAAAAGGTGGAGTGGTGATCAGTTTGGTGTAGTGGAGGTGTAGTGGTGATCAACCAGGTGTAGTGGTGATCAAAAATGGAGTGGTGATCAGTTTGGTGTAGTGGAGGTGTAGTGGTGATCAGCCAGGTGTGGTGGTGTTCAAAAAGGTGGAGTGGTGATCAGTTTGGTGTGGTGGAAGTGTAGTGGTGATCAACCAGGTGTAGTGGTGTTCAAAAGGTGGAGTTGTGATCAGTTTGGTGTAGTGGAGGTGTAGTGGTGATCAACCAGGTGTAGTGGTGTTCAAAAGGTGGAGTGGTGATCAGTTTGGTGTAGTGGTGATCAACCAGGTGTAGTGGTGTTAAAAAGGTGGAGTGGTGATCAGTTTGGTGTAGTGGAGGTGTAGTGGTGATCAACCAGGTGTAGTGGTGATCAGCTTGGTGTAGTGGAGGTGTACTGTATATTGACAATGCAGGTATACAGTTCAGCATGTATATACACAATGCAGGTATACATCGTAATTGAGAAACACTTAAAAAAAGGGTTTACACAAAGTTTTACCTGGTCAGAATTACCTTAAGTGGCTTCTTTAATACTGGTTGTGTACTGGGATTATTTACGAGTATTTCCAGTTCTTGTTCAACCTCTCATTAGGAATTAACCTGTCCGGGACGGTGCCTTCTTGTTCTTATTGTGATCGTCTTCGTAAAATATACCTTGAAGTTATTGATTTTTTTTGCCTAAAGTCATTGATGCGCGGAAACTTACAACTAACACACACACACACACTGCTGAGAGTCATGGCTAATTTTTCGTTGCTTTTATATATATGCAAGTAAACCTGTAATTGAACTGGGCATTTCTCTTGGCAGTGCACATAGTTCATTATTGTAGAGCAGGTAGGAGCTGGTGGTGATTAGTACCTGCAGAAGGAACAAAGAACTCAACAAGGAGATAATATTTCCTGTGGTGTCTTAATTGTCTGTATTATTATATTGCAACAAGTCACTTTCTGTTGAGCTGTAGTGCAACATTTGTGCAACATTTTCATTTATCTTATTTCTAAAAATCAATGTTTTGTTACATTTTGCTTTTCGTTAAGGTGCTGTGCAACATATATGTCGAGTAGTCTTCGCTAAGGCCCTGTGCAACATATGTGTCGAGTAGTTTTCGTTAAGGCGCTGTGCAACATATGTGTCGAGTAGTTTTCGTTAAGGCGCTGTGCAACATATGTGTCGAGTAGTTTTCGTTAAGGCGCTGTGCAACTTATGTGTCAAGTAACTGTCGTTAAGGCGCTGTGCAACATATGTGTCGAGTAGTTTTCGTTAAGGCGCTGTGCAACTTATGTGTCGAGTAGTTTTCGTTAAGGCGCTGTGCAACTTATGTGTCAAGTAACTGTCGTTAAGGCGCTGTGCAACATATGTGTCGAGTAGTTTTCGTTAAGGCGCTGTGTATCATATGTGTCAAGTAACTGTCGTTAAGGCGCTGTGCAACATATGTGTCAAATAGCTGTCGTTTAGGCGCTGTGCAACATATGTGTCAGGTCGCTGTCGTTAAGGCGCTGTACAACATATGTGTCCAGTAGCTGTCGTTAAGGCGCTGTGCAACATGTGTCAAATATGCAACATATGTGTCATTTTCACTAATCTTCCCCATTGTCCTCCACTAAACACCGAAAACATCTCGTGTTGTCTCACTACTGTATACAAGTTAATATTACCAACACGTTATAAAAATGATCTTCACGAGACAGTTTCTGCAACGCCTTACACCACACAAATATTGATTCTTTGTTTTGATTCTTTGTTTTGATTCCTTATTTTGATTCTTTGTTTTGATTATTTGTTTTGATTCTTTGTTTTGATTATTTGTTTTGATTCTTTGTTTTGATTATTTGTTTTGATTATTTGTTTTGATTCTTTGTTTTGATTCTTTGTTTTGATTATTTGTTTTGTTTCTTTGTTTTGTTTTTGTTTTGATTCTTTGTTTTTTGTATCTTATAACTGGTATTATGATCGTAACAGTCACAGTCATATTTCTGTAGCGATTAGACTGTGTTGAAGAGCCTTGATAGATGTAAACATTTAGTCGCATTTTTAAGGGGAATTAGTTTAATCGATTTGATGTTTTGTTATTGTTTGTATATCTGTGTGTGTGTGTGTGTGTGTGTGTGTGTGTGTACCTGTACTGTGTGTGTATATACCTGAACTGTGTGTGTGTGTGTGTGTGTGTGTGTGTGTGTGTGTGTGTGTGTGTGTGTGTGTGTGTATGTGTACCTGTACTGTTTGTGTGTATTGTTTGTATACCTGTACTGTCCATGCTGAACCAACGCCAATTAGTGTGACGGTTTTAATCAATATATA